ACCAAAAATGGAACATGTAACATGTAACAAAATTATGAAAGATTTTGAACCTTAATAACTTAGCTGCCCCTGGACCAATTTCAATAATTTTATCACCAATCGATCAGAAATATTTCGACGCATCTGTCAAATTTAAGACCTTACCATTTTTAAAAAATGACACTATTGAAAATTGCACGAATGAAAATTATCCCCGATTGCCTGCGAAATGCGATTTCCCTTACACAGATTTTATACAACGAAAGGCTGTATGCAAGCAGCGAGCTGCAGCCGACACGAGCATCCATAGAAGGAGGAAGAAGCCGAACAGCTATTGATCGGAATCAGTAGCTCTTCGTGAGTCATTGTGGGTCATCTATTTCAAGTGCGTCATACTAAAGAGCATAAACAGAAAGAACCCCGCTCAAATTTCAATTCCTACACATAACACAAGCTCCTGCTGCAGTTAACAAATTAGATTTATTATATAAGTCGTAGTCCTACGTCACCATTGCGTACAACCCCATAGCGCTGTCCCTTGTAGTTTTTATTATCAAATAAATAGATTTTCCTAATAATTCACTGGCACTAACACAACTCTTCCCTTCCTGTGACATTTATAAAGGTAGCATTTGTGTGAGGAAAATCACTAATCCCAAGTGTTTTTCTGGGTTAACACACGATATTTTCTGCAAAACGTATTAGTTGACCATTATATAGCCACTGACGATTTGTGCAATCGAACATGCACTGCTATGCTATATTTTATAAGCGGTGAACTGGGAAGAGCGATTGATTTTAAGTTTATGAAACATGAAGGGCGGCTAATTACAGATCATGCGGATGAGATCCTCTCCAGTTATTTGTTTAAATTTAATTCAATATTTACCAAATAATGTATCGAAAATTTGGTTGAGGAGGCTTGCTTTTGCTTACTGAAGATCGTCTGTTTAACCCTCCGTTACTCGCGCTGTTGTACTTTGTACAACACACATGAGTTTTCAATTGCCATTTTGTTGCTGAGTTACCAATCGATCTGAAACCAACTAGTATTCCTCAAAAAACTTGTTTTGATCTAAAAAAGCTAACCTTTGATTACAGTAAACACCTAAAAATGCGGATAATAGGGAAAATTTTAATGGAAACCGCGTAAACTGTATCCATACTACGTGGGATTTGACTTAATTGATTACAGCATGGAATACGAGATCCTGACCAGATAGAAAGTGACTGTATCCAACTAAATTGTTCAGGAGATCATAGCCTTATCGCTGGCGGACAGTAGTTCAGAATTTTCTCACTACGTAGCGCTAGTATACACATGAAATTCTCGCATGTGGCTAGTTTCGAGATCCTGACCAGATAGAAAGGTACTGTCTTTAACAAAGTTTTTCAGGAGGTCAAAGCCTATTGCTTGGTGCTCAATAGTTCAGAGTTTTCTCACTACGCGACGCTAGTAAACACGTGCCTTTCTCGCATATTCAATAGTTCGAGATCTTGATCAGCTAGAAAGCTACTGTCATCGGCAAAGTTGTTTAGGGGGTCAAGACTTTTTGGCTGGTAAACAGTAGTTAAAAATTTTCTCACCACGTGGCGTAAGTATACATGTACACTTCTCGCATATGCTATTATATATGCGAGAATTTCACATGTACACTAGCACCATGAAGTGAGAAAATTATGAATTACTGCCAAAATACCTTGACCTCCTGAACAACATTGTCGTAGACAGTAACTAATAACTATCTGATCAGGATCTCGAGATATAGCAAATGCGAGAAGTGTACATGTATACTAACGCCACGTGGTGAGAAAAGTCTTCACTACTGGTTACCAGCCAAAAAGGTTTTGACCTCCTGAACAACTTTGTCCAAGACAGTAACTTTCTATCTGGTCAGGCTCTCGAAACAAGTCACATGCGAGAATTTCACGTGTATTCTAGCGCTACGTAGTGAGAAATTTTTGAACTAGTGTCCACTAGCGAAATATATCTGATCAGAATCTCGAGATATTTTACATGTGAGAATTTCGCGTGTACACCAACGCCACGCAGTGTGAACATTCTGAACTATTGTACACCAAGCAATGGGCAATGACCTCATGAACAACTTTTTCTAAGACAGTAATTTTCGACCTGTTCAGAATCTCGACCTTAGTAACTTTCTATCTGGTCAGGATCTCGAGATATTTTATATGAGAAATTCATGTGTACACTAGCGTCGCGTAGAAATAGGCTTTGATCTCTCCAAAAACTTTGTCGACGACAGTAACTTTCTATCTGCTCAGGATTTTGAGCTATTGTATATGCGAAAATTGCACGTATATACTAGCGCCACGTAGTGATAATTTTCTGAACTACTCCACCAACGAAAAGGCCTTGACCTTCTGAACAACTTTGCCCAAGCCAGTAACTTTCTATCTGGTCAGGATCTCGAGATATTTAATATGAGAATTTCACGTGCATACTAACGCCGCGTATTGAGAAAATTTTGAACTATTATGCACCAAGAAATAGGCTTTGATCTCATCAAAAACTTTGTCGACGACAGTAACTTTCTATCTGGTCATGATCTCGAGATATATCACATGCGATAATTTCACATGTATTCTAGCACTGCATAGTGAGAAAATTATGAACTACTCTCCACCAGCAAAAAGGTTATGATCTCTAGAACAGCTTTACCCAAGACAGTAACATTCTAGCTGGCCAGGATCTCGAGATTTTCTATGTTGTAACCAATTCAGTCAAATCCCACGTAGAACGTACATCGTTTACGCGGTTTCCATTCACATTTTCTCTATTCTCCGCATTTTTTGGGGGTTAACTGTCATAAAAGTTTAACTTGTTTAGTTAAAAACAAGTTTTTTAGGGAATACCCGTTGGTTTCATATCGATTGGTAGCTCGGCTGCAAAATGGCAATGGAAAACTCACACTGTTGTACAAAGTACAACGCGCGAGTACTCGTGTTACAAAAGTTGGCGCGAGTAACGGAGGGTTAAGACGTGTTGGTCGGAAATCTCAAATCCTTCTCAAGATCAGTTGATTTCGTCGTCTGTTGTCGTCAGGACCCAAATATAGTTACTGCTAGCTGAACGGGAACTCGTAATTTGTTTGTGATATAAGGAGCTCGGTAGCCTAGTGGCAACCGCTTTTGCTTATTGAGCAGAAAATTGTGGATCTATTCTTAAAACGAGATGAAGCGTATTGAAATTCGGTTGGAGAAGCTCCTTCACATTATAGAGTTATACATAAAATCGGCTTTCTTTCATAATATGATGTAAAGAAATTCGGTCGGAAGGCCAGGTACTTAAATTAAATAAAGTTTGCCGGGGTCGAAACCTAGTAAGAATAAATTGAACGGTAACTTGATCGTAATTGTTTTGTGATATAAGGAGCTTGGTGGTCTTGTGGCGACCGATTTTCCTTACTGAGCAGAAGTCCGTGGGTTCAAACCCAAACTTTTAACCGATATTGAATCGTTAGGATATCAATTCAGCATATTGTTTATGTGTGTGTGAAAGTGCAGAGGTGTTATCGGCTTTCATTAAATCGAGTATTACCTCAACATATTCCTACCCATTCCTTTCTTGACCAGAATTCGGACGGGGCTCGCGCTGGTATTGCCAAGTTTTAGATCACCAATCTTTACACATTCAGGATAGCTGCTAGTTCCAAGCAACGTCTATTGGTTCTCTGTGTAATTACAGCTGCTATGGAAATAACGGTGATGCATCCACGGGCGGTCAATCATGCTCATGCTCAATAATTTAAGCATTGCATAATTTTGTTTGAATCTTCACACATCTAGAATAAACAATGAGGAAGCATCGTAAAATGAAAAAGTTACGGGCTTTTTCGGTTTCCGTTTTATACAGTTAACAGTCGTTAGGCATCACTACGTAAGTTATAATGGACGTTAAACATAAAGTCATTACGCATAAGGGATGTTAGACATAATATACATTGAGCATAATAGACGTTAGCTATTAAATTTAATGCTAGTTTGCGCTTTTGAAATAGGGAGGGGTAATTTTATAATCAGGGCACTATCACAGGGGCATCCGGCACATGCCTAAGTGTCTTAATGATAGACACTCAATATCAGTTCCAGTGATTCAGAATGGAAACATGAATATAGAGCCTGAAATTTAAACTTTAGAAAAAAAATGTCTTCTACAAAGGTGTTTCGAATAGTTGGCAGTGGTCCTTTTCTATCATTGGAATAAAAAAAAGTAAAGGTTTGCGTCCAAGGCCTGACCACATTGTTGAAGTAGTGCTACGAGATTATGTTTGATGCTCCATTCAATAATATATTAATATTAAAATAAATGGTTTAGAAATTTAACCCCAAAATGAACAATGCATTATTTAATTTTTTTAAATTGGGCGGTTTTTGAATAAATCCTGAAATTAAGTTTCAATTTTTTAAATTAGAAAGTCAGTTCCTTTAATATTTATAATTAGGTTCCAAACATGTTCACCCAACTTTCGGAAACTAACTAATGTTATAGTGATTTTTTTTATTCAGTTCCAACCTGGATCGGGTATCAAGATCGGCTCTGCTTGTTTTCTGACAAACGTTAGTTTGATCGTTTGTTTTTAAAACCTATCTCAGGTTGAGGTTTGCACTGACAAAAAGTTCGGTTTCACAACTTTAGAAATGGCTCTCAGGAATATGTTATTCATAATTTTTTGTCAATCCAAACGCTGCTGAGGAACCCAAAACTTCTAACTCTACCCCAAATGACCGAATCGGCTATTTACGTCTAACACGCTAATAATGGCAAATTTGATACTCTTCAAGCACCAACGGGTGTACATGCTCATTTTTCCATGATTGCCATCCAGATGTTTGTGTTCAAGATTCGCTCATCAGTCGTCAGTCAATCGCTCAGTGATGGCATCCAGGCACTTATGTCATCCATCGCCGAAAAAAAAAAATGGTGCCACACATCGTCATTGAGTCGTCAGCTTTCTTTCGAAGTGACCTAATTGTCCCCTTGCATTTCTCTTCCCCAGGACTGCCGTCAACCGTTCTTCGGTGGATCGTTCTTCGACCATGAGGGTCTGCCGTACTGCGAGACCCACTACCACGCCAAGCGGGGTTCGCTGTGTGCCGGTTGCTCGAAACCCATCACCGGCCGGTGCATCACGGCCATGTTCAAGAAATTCCACCCGGAGCATTTCGTGTGCGCCTTCTGTCTGAAGCAGCTGAACAAGGGCACCTTCAAGGAGCAGAACGACAAACCCTACTGCCACCAGTGCTTCGATAAGCTGTTCGGATAAAGTGGGTATATATTCTATGTGTTTATTGTGTCTGTCTCCGTGTATTCTTTCGGCTCTATCTTTACTCCGTGCAACATCGCAACGGTCTGCTGCAAGTATTCTTCTGGAACGTCCGTTCGTTCCGGGTTAATTTAGATTGTATTTTAGATTTCTTTTTCTGTTCGCAATTTGATTGAAATGTTTACTTAACGTCGGTATCGATAAACAGTTTTCCCGGGGAGGAACATTGGTTTGAGAATTGCCACTCCCCAATCAGAGCGCGGAGGGTTTGACTTATTGTTTTTTTTTTGTTTTCCCGTACGAAACTGATCACAGATGAGTTGTTTAACAATGTTGTAGTCGCTTGAAAAATAAGCGAATTGTACCTGCAGCAATGTCAACCTGTCAAGTATTTAACTTAATCGAAAGTCAATATAAAGGGAGCATGCGAGGGAGTCATTTTCGGTAATATTGTGAGTTGATAAATAAAACTTTAAATTAGTAAGCCAATCCATAGTTAAACTTAAACCTAGGAATATTGCAACAACAAACTAGTGTGTTTGTGAACTAATAAAATGTTTTCTGAAATCAAGAGTATTCAAAAGATAAGTAAGCAAAGAACTTTTTGGCAATGCAGAATGACAAAACTGAGCGTTTGAAACTATTTACAATTAATCAATGAGAATATTTAACATGTTCAAATCTACATCGTGCGCACGAGTGTACGTTGGTCGATTGAAAAGTTTTGCGAAGCATATATTAATTATAATCTACAAAATTTAAACACATAATGGATATGGATGGAATCACTTAAAAATCTGCCAACGATAATAGTTAATTAAAATCAACTAGAAAGATACGTTCTCTAACATGTAATGCACACATACAGATCTTAACAGGAATGAAGTGTTTCTGCAGTTATCAAGTGCAAGGAAGATATTACTCAGAACGGTGTGGTTATTTATCCGAAATTCCCTGAATCTCAAGGATGCTCTTCTATTACAGATTTGCATTTACAAAATACAGAATTTGTTATGTTTCACCGCATGAATAGATTTTGTTATGTGCTCGTCGGAGGGTATTTTCTATAGTTTTATAATTTTTATGTTAGCTAATTTTTCGACTCCCCTCTTCAAGGTTTTAAACGAAAATATTAATTCTGAAAAAAAACATGCTACAGTCCATTGTAGGAACCACCATCACATTTGTTGTGAGTAAACATACAGAGGACGTAACAAATTCAATCTCACATTTGATGTTCATGTTTTTTTGCGTGTTCTTTTACTTTTCCTGGTCCTACTTCCTTCGGTGAGACTCTATTTGCTCCACAATGTTACGCTAATTAACTTCATGGCTTCTTGCCTCAAATTTCTCGAGAACCGCACTCTTCCTAAATGTTGCTCCAATTGTTCTAATTATCTTACACGCCAGATTTATTTTTCATACGTCTATCAATCTCTAGAAAAATATTACATTGTGATTAAATTGTATACATTTTTCGAAAAAAAAACTCGTCCACCATTGATAGGAACACTGTTCCAGTAGTTGTGGTAGTTGCTATCTTTGGTTCTTTTAATAGTGAAATACATTGGTTTCTAATGGATTCCACTATTATATGAACACTACTGGAACTATAAGTGCAAAGGAGTCAACATCTCAAGGGATATTAATTTTCGTCATTGTTGGGCTAATTTCAAGTTTCAAGTATACAAGTTTACTTTGTTTTAGGAGAGTTTACCTATGAAAACTAATTTTATATGGTTTTCCAACATAATCCTTTCTAATGCATTAGGAAAAAATACACAGTATTTACAGACCAAGAAAGACCGTAATGCGCACGCGGCGCCGCACACTGGGGCAGATCAGTGATTTTCTCGGAAAAAAATAATAACTTTTGAACAAAGCATCCAATCAGAATACTGTCTTCGGTAAAATTGTTTATATTAGTTAAGCGCTTCTTTTGAATAAATTAATTAGTTCGCAACTTGGTCGTAGAGATGGCGCGCGAATCTAACTTTTGAATAAAGCATCCTAGACGTATGGTGTTTTCAACAAAGTTTTTTATCTATTAAAATGAAGGAAAGTTGCAGAAGACATAAAACTTCCATAACCTTTAGTTTCGGAGATATAGGGTGTATTGAAAAATATGATGCCAAAATTCTTATTTGTAATTTTTTTTGTATATTTTCATATGTTTGCCCTGGTTTCTGCATTTATTCCAACGAAAACAAACTAGGTGCGTATTTTCATTGAACTGTTTGTGGAATTTATAGTGGTTTTAGTGAAATATTCTCGAAAAACATGATATTTTGCCTCTATTTTAGGTGGGTGGGATTCTCGAAAGGGCAGCTAAGGGCAGCTGGACTTTCTCTCTTTAGCTAGCTCATGTCATTGTCTAACATATACCAGAAAACTGAAGACATGATATTCGATGATTTTTTTAAATTTCACTTTATATACACCGATAAAAACATCCTTTACATTGAAATGAACTGTTTCACATAATGAAAAACTTTATATAAATTTTTGACATGTCACCATTTTTAAATACTGTACTGAATTTTGAGATTGTTTACTTATTATGAGCTGCCAGCGAACCAGGGGCCTTGCTGGCGGCCATGTTTTTGGTGCTATCATCTGCTTTTGACTCTCTGCTTACTACACGATTATCCGTCCCTTTCCACCATGTATACGTAATCAGCTGCATTACCCAGGTAAAGTTGTATATGTGACATCATCGTACAAGCTGTGTGCTGCCGTGCCAACGTGATCGTGTACAACGTACAATTATCGATTACTTTTTCGAAGAGACGTATCAGCTTTTGTAAACAATGCATTTGATCGTCGGTTTGGTGTAACTGGTAGCTCATTCACGCATACTAACACCACTATCATGCAGGAGAAACTTTCCCCTATCTGATGGTAGTGTTAGTATACGTGAGCGAGCTACCAGTTACGCCAAACCGACGATCAAATGCATTGTTTACAAAGCTGATACATCTCTTCGAAAAAGTAATCGAGAATTATTAATGTGCGTCAATGTTTCAGTAGTTGGTATCCATAAGAGTGAATTTTTTTCTCGTCTCAGTTCAGTGATCAATTTCCGGTGTTGAGCAATAATCCACAAAGTTGCTATAATGGATTTACCTTCAATGTAAATTTTCAACAGTTGTTTATTCTATGCCATATGCTCAACATGCATTTCGTTTAGTGGTGTCGCAAAATTAATTTTAGTAAAGATAATAGATCACACAAGCACATCAAACTATTTTTACAACCAGATCCATTAATTACAAGTCTGCGAAAAAGAACGAAGAAAAATTCAGCCCAATCAATAAAAAAAAATAGCGAGGTATTGGCATTATTACAACCACCGGATTCATTTAACAAATAGTGACAATTAAGGACAACTGATTTCTAAATACTTCAACTAAAGTGATAGTTTAATCTCTAAACCATTACTGCTTCTGCAATTTAAAAAGTTTAACGAATAAAAATTATACATAACTGACAGGTTTCCTTATTAGTAGAGATACTTGTAACGGTTTACAAAAGGTGAAATTAAAAAAAATCATCGAATATCATGTCTTCAGTTTTCTGGTATATGTTAGACAATGACATGAGCTAGCAAAAGAGACAATGTCCAGCTGCCCTTAGCTGCCCCTACGAGAATCCCACTTACCTAAAATAGAGGCAAAATATCATGTTTTTCGAGAATATTTCACTAAAACCACTATAAATTCCACAAATAGTGCAATGAACATTTGCACCTAGTTTGTTTTCGTTGGAATAAATGCAGAAACCAGAGCAAACATATGAAAATATACAAAAAATTACAAATAAGAATTTTGGCATCATATTTTTCAATACACCCTATATCTCCGAAACTAAAGGTTATGGAAGTTTTATGTCTTCTGCAACTTTCCTTCATTTTAATAGATAAAAAACTTTGTTGAAAACACCATTCTTCTAGGATGCTTTATTCAAAAGTTAGATTCGCGCGCCATCTCTACGACCAAGTTGCGAACTAATTAATTTATTCAGAAGAAGCGCTTAACTAATACAAACAACTTTACCGAAGACAGTATTCTGATTGGATGCTTTGTTCAAAAGTTATTAATTTTTTCCGAGAAAATCACTGATCTGCCCCAGTGTGCGCCGGTGGTGTAGTGGTAAGCGTCACCCCAGAAGGCCTGATGGGTCGATAGATAGGGTCCAGGTGTGGGAGCTGTCTTCCTGGCGCGTCGGTAGCATTGGTAGCTCAGCACGGAAAACAAACCAAAGAAAAAAAATCCTTGTTATTTGCTTTACAGTTCCCTAGAATTCAACTCATAATCTTCATAATAGTCTCTTCAGAACTACCTTAGAAATCACCTGTAGTTCTCTTCAGGGACTGGCGTAGCATATTTTTAGAGACCCCCTCTCTATCTCCTCGTAAAATATTTGGCGGGTCACAACTTCGGAACCCCCCTCCCCCATATACTCGAAGGCTACGTCATAATTTTCTTTAAATACTTCGCAAAATTACCGCAAAATGCTTTGAAGTGTCAGATTATGATGATGATGATAGTGGTCTACTACTCATGGACGCAAGGAAACTAGTACGATAGCTGTGGTGTCTCCTCACTGTTGAACTTGATCAAGCTTAATAACCTCTGATTGTCATCAGCAAATTGCTGTATGAAGGACCAAAATCGAATGGATGGATTGATAGGCAATTCGCGTATTCATTTCATTGGGACAGTTAAGAATCCTTCCAACAACTTGATGAGAAATTGGTCAGAAATCGAGCCAACAGTAAAATGCTTCAATGAATGGGTAGAAGAGCCCGCCCTTTATCCATTGATGTTAGCAACAAGGAGTTGACATCTTCACTCTCCTCATCTGAATCATTTCAATTGGGTGCCCTCCTCATCCCGAATTTTTGATATATGGGTCATTCCAGCTCAAGTGGGTGCACCACCTGTGGTCGATGTCACCGATTTGAGCCAAACTTGGCCAAAATGCTTATTTTGGCATTCTGAACAAACGCCTTTTTTTTTTTTTTTGCTCTAAAGTACCTAGTGCCTAGTGCCTTTCAGAAGAGATTACTCCACATTAAAACAAGCTATTCGTGATCTTAGAACGTCAATTTGAAGGTTTTTTAATGTTAATTCTTATAGGTGTACCCACATTTTGTTTTTGTTATAGTAACTACAGTAAACAAGCTGATTATCGGCAGGTATTAAAATTGTCAAAAAAGTAGAAGGGTCTGTGCCTAGGGGCACGAACGGAAACTTGACGTAGGACCGCTAGTGTACGGAATAAATGTGAAGAGCATTTAGTTCTTTTAATTGATCAATTATCTATTATCTCAACTCTTTCCGTTTTTTGAATTGTAGGCGTACCAAATTTGTAGTATTTTTTTTTTCAAAGAGAAAGTTGATTAAGAGAACCAATCAAAATCACTTGCACCCCTGCTTCCAAGTTTGGTGACAAGATTACAACACTGGAGAGCATTTTGTGTGGTCGTTGGGGGCTTGTGGACAAACAAGCACAGATAAATTCTATTCCAACTCTTTACTGATGTAAGCCATCAACCTGAAAAGGGTCATTTTATTGAAGAGGACATCCATGGCCACTTACGCTTGGCGTGTTTAGTGTAGGTGACAGCATCACGGACCTCATTTTCCAGGAACACCTTCAGCACACCTCGTAGATCAGGCCGGAGATACGTTTGACACCACCACGGCGAGCCAGACGATCGATGGCGGTTATCTCGAAGAACTTTGCGATGACGCTTGGTGCCTCCTTTATCAGACCTTTTCCTCCAATGCCACGACGAGTCAATTGTTGCTTGTTAGGTGTGAAGGAGTGGACTAGCCACCACCTTCCTACTGCTGCTATTGCTGTTCACCACGCCGTCCGAAGCGAAAATGAGCTAATGCCATTTTTTGCCATTTAAATGAT